CAGAAATCGCGTTTCGAAAGGTTCAGGGTTATGCTGGTGCAACAGATACGCTGATTCGCGGTGTGGAAGTCCCAACACTGGCGTTCTGGTACGTTTCAGACTCGTCAAAACGCGACAGTCAGGTTGATCCGCGGCAATGGAATCTCGAGACCAATGTTGTGGCATGCTTCAAAATCTTCAAACGGTTGTCTTCCGGCGAAGCAGGTCCATCAGTGGGGATGAACCGTTATAGTAGCCTATGATGAGGGAGCTTGGAGGGAGGATGTATTCCAACATCGTTGATGACTCTTGGGTTTACTCTAGTCCTCATCCTCATCCTCCTCAGGCAGTGCCGACAGAAATGGACAAGTAGCTCGCCGCGAGCCAACTTGTGCAAACACCCTCTGAGCTCGACAGACACACACACACACACGCACACACACAGACACACACGCGCGCGCGCGCGCACACACACACACACACACACGCGCACACACACACACACACACTCACACACACACACACGAACCGAAGGCAAGGGCGTCGGCCAGGGGGCGCTCCTTCTCCTTCTCGGCAGCCTCCATATCCGCCAGCGCGTGTGTGTGCAGGCACCTGCAACCAGAGCGGGCACCATCACCTCACCATCACCATGATCACCACCACCACCATCATGATGATCAACATCATCATCATCATCATCATCATCATCATCATCAGCAGCAACATCATCACCATCACCATCACCATCATCAGTATCATCATCAGCAACATCCGCATCATCATCACAACAACCACCTCCATCGTCATCATCAGCATACTCATCATCATAAGAATCACCATCAGCATCCTCATTATAATCAGCATCAGCATCAATATAATCAACAACACCAACATCACTTTCATCATAATCATCATCCGCATCAGCGTCATGTTCGTCATGCTCAGCTTCATCATCATCATCATCATCATCATCAGCAGTAGCCGCATCCTCACCAGCATCACGAACATCATCTTCATCCTCATCCTCCTCATCCGCATCACCATCGTCACCATCACCATCACCACCACCACCGTCACCACCAACTTTCAATCGGCGTGCGGAATGATCCTCCGCAATTCGCATTCGACGTACTCAATGTCAATACTGGGTCGCAGCGTCTGCTCATGATACGCGCCGAAATCTCCAGACACCCTGGGGCCCGGCGCCGACGCAGTCGAGTCATAGGGCAGGCACACCAGGTCAGCGCTGAAGGCCGCAAGGTCCACGGCGCCAGTCTCGAGTTCGCAAGGGGACTGGCCGCGCAGGAGCTGGCGAGAGGCACCCAGCCCGGAGAGGGCCTCCCGCACGGGCCCCCGCAACTTGACCGGGCCTCCCACGTGGGCCAGGGCCTCGGATTTCAAGAGTCCATTGGAGGCGACAGGTCCCAGGCGCGGTGGCTGGCAAACCCATTCAGTCCGTGGGCGGCCCAAAACCTTCGCCGCCGAACGGATCGACGCGGCAGGACCAGGAGGCACGACGGGCGCGGGCAAGGGAAAGGTTTCCCGCGCAGGTCTCGTGGATGAGGAGATCCTCAAGCGCCTCTTCCATATACCCGATGGCCAAAGGGCGAGACCTCCAAGCGGGGCTGCTGCTCACCGCGCGCCATCGATCCAGGCTGCTCATCGGTGGTCCTCGCCGAAAGGGAAAAATGCCCACGCCCGAGCGATGCCGAGGGAGGCGTGTGCGGGCTGCGCGGCCACGAGAGCGCAGCAAGGCGAGCGAGAGGCCGCGAGAGGACGGTCGGATGCCTCCGGAGGCGGCGAGCAGCAGGGGGCGCAGGGGTCGGGGATGGACAGACCCCCATTTAGCAAAACGTGGTTTAGTGAAAACGACCTGAACCCCAAACCTGGTGGGCGCAAGCCTGGAGAAGTAACGGCCGCGGCGCCCGCTCGAGAACCGCAAACGGACAATTCACTGATCGACGTGCCACTGTTGGGGGTGCTGTCCACCCCCGAAGGGGGGACACAGGGCACCGACCCTTCCTGGGTGTCGCAGCCGCGCGCGCGGTGGCGAGGCGAACTGATCGAGGAACACACACACAACAGTGAAGGGGCTCCAGGACACACAAGTGAGTACACACACAAATAACAGGAGATTCCTTACATGTTTCCCATAGTTTGGGGGCTTTCGTCTTCATCCCCACTTCCCATATGTTTCCATGTTTCTGGGGGATCGACTCTTCATTGTGTCTGTGTGTACTCCTCCCTCCTGAAGCAGGGCTGCTCGCACTCCGCTGCTCGGGCCGCGACCGCTGTGACGGCGCGAGCGAGCGAGCTTCTCAAGTCTGCACGCGAGCCACAAGCAGACCCGACTCCAGCAGAAGTACACTCGGCCCAGGGGGGGGGGGGGGGGCAGGGACGCAATGAAACAGGAAGGGTGCCATGAAATCTGGGGAAATATGATGACCCACGCCATGATACCACCCCCCCTAGTCATCACTCCCCTCCTTGCCGCCCCCGAAGGGGGAGCCCCGACGCTCCCGGGCACGGCGGGGGCTACCCAGGCCCCGAGCGGCGAGGCACTGGCGCGCACAGAGACATACCTTGAGCGGCCCCCGTTCACGATAGCGCTTTTCTCCCAAAAATTAATTCTCCCGCGCCTTGAGAATTTAACCAAAAAGAGCTAAGTACTGGAAGCCGAAACTCTATCACTTATATATTTATATATATATATATGTGAAATGAAGGAAGCAATATATATTATATAATATATATATATATATATATATTATTTTATATAATATAAAAAAGGGAGAGAAAAAAAAAAGAAAAAACGATTGAAACTCTGACCGCGAGTACGCCGCCCTGCGAAGCGATACCCCCGAGCCTGATCAACACGGAGCAACGCCAAACATGGCCGTTGCGCTGGGCAAGGTGAAGAGAGATCGCAAGACGACGCTGCCCAGACAAAAAGCGACCACATATTGAAATTGAAGCCGTGCCTCGACAACGATCGCGGGCCCCCCATCAAACGCTCCACATGGGCCGCGCGACGCCTCCCCCACCGCACAAATGACAGCACAAGGATGATAGCAGCAGGAGGAGCAAGGGCAGACGAATGAGGAGGAGAAGAAAGGCAGGAGGATAAGGAGGAGGAAGGGCAGGGGGTGGAGAAAGAGGTGAGCAGGAGGGGGAGGGAGAGGGGCAGGAAGACAGGGGGAGGAGGAGAAGTCCCGTCCCGCCGTCCTCGATCATCTCCTCACCGGCCGCGCATTTACATCTCACAGCGGCGTGGCGACGCCGCGGTGGTCTCAGGACCGCGGGCGAAACTCCGCGATAAACCAGACTTGGTGCACGCGTCGCGCGGGCGTTCCTGACACCGCGCGCGGTCGTTCGTCTCATGTCCTCCGCTTCCGCGGGTGGCGAACATCCCTGAAAGCCCTGCAAAACAGATGGCATGGCTCCTGTAATGGCCGCTTTCCCCCCCCATCTCCTGGTCCTCTACTGGTCTCATCCTCTACTGTCCTACCGTCCTCCTCATCTTCCTCCTCGAAGTCCGCGGGGGCGCCGCGAAGTCCGCGGGCTCGCCTACGCTGGGAGCCGCCGGCGTCCAAGGACGACGCGACGCACGCCGGCAGCTCCGACCGCACCCCCTTGTGCTGGAGTTCCGTCTTCAGCTTCTCGGCCGCGCCCTGTGGCGAGATCGTCGCGTTGCTCGTCGCCCATCTCGTCGTCCGTGTCCTCCTCTACCTCCACCGCCTGTCATCAGCCTCCTCCCGTTCTCCTCCGCCTCATCATAATCATCATCCTCCTCCGTTCGCCGCCTTCTCCTCCGCCATCCCCCCCCCCCCCCCCCTCATCTCACTCATCCCCTTCTCATCGTCGTCAGCGTCGCCATCGCGAGCCTCGAGGTTCTTCGGCCCCTTGAGCAAGGGGAATGCCCACTTCATCGAAAAGATGACGTACGTGAGCGAGACGGTGACCATGCCCGACCTCGCAGCCGTCTCCCAGCCACACACACACACACACCAGCTCGGAGGTGAAGGTGCCTGGGAATCGGCGGATCAAAACGATGCGCCTGTCCACGTCACCGCGCAACTCGGCCAAGGCCTTGAGCTGCGCGTTGGCAACGAGCTGTTTTGCCATGGGGTGAGGCGGCGAGGCGAGCAACGCCTCCGCGACTGGCTTCCAGTCAGGCTGCCACTCCTTGATGCTCACCGTCGCCGCCTCGAAGCCACCTATCCACCGCTGGCGCGTGGACGTCAAGCTGTTGTTCATCTGCGCCAGCGCGCCCGAACAGGACGGCCGCAAACGGAAGATGAGGCGGGCGAGAGGTGGAAGCGGAGCGGGGAGGGGGAGTGGGAGAGGACAAAGTGGATGATCGGCGGGAGACGGAGGTCGATGAGGGGCGAGGCGGAGGCGAGGGGATGATTGAGGAGGGAAGGCGCAACAGGACGCGGGGGCGGGACGGGGGCGGGGAGCGGGATCGGAGTCGAAGTAGGAGGGTGGAAGAGAGGAAGAGGATCGAACACACACTTCGATATGTGGTAGACGCCCTGCATAACTGCCACCATCTCTATCGCGCTCTGCCCATAAACCCCCATCCTCGATCACCAACCCCCTCATCCTAGCGTCGAGCGGGCTGCTCCCGAAGACGCGCCCTATCGCGAACGGCGCTGCGAAATGGGGTAACGTGCGCGGGCGCAAGAGTAAGTGTGGGAGGAGCTGGAGCTGGGAGGTTAAGAAGCAGGGGGAACCCATCGGGAGGATAACGCTAGTTGAAAGTCGTCCGAAGCTGGAAGAGCATAAGGATGAGGATGGGGAGGAGGCGGAGGGGGTGGGGGCGAGGAGAGATGGGCGGATGCGAATGGGGGGGGGGGGGGGGGGGAGGAGGAGGAGGAGGGGCGGGAGGAGGGAGGGGGCGCTGATGGGGGAGGAGGAGAAGGAGGAGGGGGAGGAATATGCGGAGGAGGATGAGGAGGATGAGGAGGAGGATGTTCATATCACCCCGGGCCCCACTCGGCAAACTGCTGCCCGCTCTCCTTCTCGTGCGCACGACGGAAGGAGTTGGCGGTGCCCTGGAGGTCCTTGACCGCCTGCGCGCCAGAGAGCCACGCCTTCGCCGCCTGCTCATCAAGATCGCAGTCGCACTGCACGAACGGGAGGCCTGCCAGCCAGACCTTGACACACCCAACAATGAGCCCCACCCGCGAGCGGAACTTGACGTCGCAGAACCGTGCCGCCTCGACCGCGTCCTTGAATGACTGCTCGGCGTCCTGCGTCATGGCCGCTCTGTAACCTGTTCCTACTACCAAGTGGTACTGGCCCAGGATGTCGTCACGCTGGCACAACTCCGCGGCCCAGCTGGCGGTCCAGAAGCTGTCGCCGTAGTTGCCGAAGATCGCCCCATCGCACATGCGCAGGAACGTTGACATGCGATCCGCGCGCCGGGCAGCCGACATGCCCTTGACCTCTGTGACCCCTGCCGATGAGATGAACTTGTCGAACAACGACTTCATGTCCGTCTCGAGGTCATGTCCATCCCAGAGCTCCTCCAGTATTTTCATGTTCTCGCCGAACGACTGGATGTATTCTGGCACCTTGCTGATTTGGCAATCGGCGCCCTGACGGGAGTCGAGCAACTGGATGGTGGCAGCCGCATTCTGGAGCAACTCGACCACGATCTGGTATTCAACCATGTCAATGCCCTTCATCTTCTCGCTCAGTTTCGGCACCTGCTCGCATGCCGCGACCAGGTCAGTGGTCAGTTTGACGCCTGCGATCCACTTCTCGCCATCCCAGCGGGGCTCCTCCTGGGGGCGATCCAGCCAGCCGATCATTGTACCGACGAGCTCCTCGGGAAAGGCAGATGATGGCCAAGCACGTGAAGGAAGGCGACGGGAAGATAGATACACATTGAGAGGGTGGGGGGGGGGGACTGACTGAGTAGGGCAGTCGAAGGGGGCGGCAGCAGATGGCACGCAGTCCTGGCCCATGCACAGAATCAGGTCCGCGGAGATCGCCACGTATTGATACAATGGATCGTCGACGATGTCCTTGCACAGGTACCTCGTAGAAAACGGCGTTGCCTTTCAAAGGAGCCTCGTGATGCGGTCGAGGTGGCTCAGCGCGCTGGCGACACGGGACCTCGCATCCAGGGTGGTTGCGTCCTTCCTGGCGTAGTCAACGGCCATGCTGACAGCGTCCACCGTTCGTTTCTGCAGGTCTGTACCAGCTGAGTATCCAGCGATGGCTACCTCGACGTCACGAAGGAGCTTCTTGGCTTGCGGCCACTGCACTGCCGACGACGCCATCGGCCACCGGTTATCAAAGATACCACGAATACAATCCGAGGCCGTCTCCAGCTCGACGACCCCTGGCGTCGCGTCCTCGTCGAGCATGCCCATGACCGTTTTCAAAGCAGACGTGTCGCCCTTGAGCTCGGACGATGCCAACGTCGGCACTGAGGACGCGATGCGGAGCAGGTCCTGCCGGAGGATCTTGGGGTCGCCCTGGGCGGCCATGCTGATTTTCATCTTGAGCATGTCCACTGTCATGGCAAGCTGACCATCTGGTGTCGGGAAGCCAGCCTCAGTAAGCTTCCCGGGCTCTAGCTGCGTCCACATGTGCTCGTCCAGTGGCGCAGCCTTCGCGCGGCGACTAGGCGGCGATAGCTCGGCTGATCGCGGCGTCCAACTAGCTGGCCCCATCCCCCTCTAAACCCTGACTCCACCCTCCATGTGCCAAACGCTCCCCAGCCCAACCCCCATTCAAGGCCGCCCTCCATTCAGCCACCCTTCCGAGGAGATCAAGGGAGGGCAAAGCGTTCGACCAGATACTTTGGACAGCCACCACTGAGCGCCGCGACCCAGTCCAGCAATCACATATAGTCAGTCTCGTGCGTGCCTCCACCTGTTTCGCAATGAACTCCTGAAGCATCCAGTGAGGGAAAGGAAGCGCTGGCCACTGGCGGAGTGGCAAAAAAACATGAGGCTCTGCTTATACGCGGAAGCGAACGCCTTGTCAAAAAACTCCCTGACTTCATCCAAGCCGTAGCCATATTCAATGCCTCCTGGCCCTGCTTTCGCAACGCCTGGACTTCATCACTGTCAATGTACAGCTCGGGCGCGTTATTGCCGAGCTCCGCGGCAGCCTGTCTCAGACTTGTAGGCGCTCTCCGCAGCGATCGCGTCTGAGAAATCACTGAATGCCTTGGTCAACTGCCTGACAAAGTTCTTATCGAGAAGTGCTTCTCGTCTTGGTTCGAGGCGCGGTAGTCGTCTAGGTGGGTCAGTTGAGCGGCGCGCCTGTTGCCGCGGGGGCGTCCAGGGCCGCGCTTCTTGGCATCGGGCTCCTCGCTGCCGGCGCTGCTCGACGACTGGAGGCGTTTCTTGCTCGCGCCCTTTGCCTTGACCTTGGCCTTGCCCTTGGGGTCGGCCTTCGTCGACGCCTTGCCCCCTCGAGCTGATTGGCTCGCACCGCCCGGGATCAACGCGGGGACGTTGCCAGCCTAGAAGCCGCCGAAGACGCCGGGCTGCGTGACCGAGCTCGACGGGGGCTGCGGCGGCGGAGCTGGCGGCTGCGATGACGATGGCGCGATGGCTGGCGCAGACGCCTTCGCAAAGATGGATGGGGCTGCCTCGCCAGTGGGGCGAGCGAAGGCCGCGGAGAGGCTGCCCGATAAACCAGTAAAGGCGCGGTCCAGTTGACCATCGAAGATCGCCGTGTCCGACGCGTGGTGAGTGCGCTCCTGCCCGACCCCCTGGAGCTGAATGTGATTCACCATCCACTCGAGTTTGCCCGGCATCCGGACGCACTGGTGCCCTTCGTACATGACGACCTGATGCCCTTTGCCGTTCGCGTAGGGGTCGCCCATCTCCTCGTGGTAGTCAGCCAGCAACACAATGCGGCCAGGAGCTCGCTCGCTGTGAACCTCCTTTTTTTTGCAAGACATGACTTTCTCATCCACGGCCTCCCAGGTGACCCTGGTCCCACGGGTGCCCTTCTCTGAGATGAATACGAGCACGGCCTCGTTCCTCCTCATAAAGAACTCCGCGCGCGTCTCCTTCGACGCGCCGATCACAGGCGCCAAGAGAGCACACGTAGCCGTCGATGCCTGCTCGGCGTAAAGCCTGATTGGGGGGGGCGATGGGGGTGCGACTCATCCACCATAAGCCTCGGATCCTCCGACGCGTCCACCACTGCCGCCGCTTCGACTTACACTCCTCCAGCTACTGCACTGCCTCCCCCTCGCCACCTCCCCTGGGCCCCCATCCCCTGAGCCCACCCCCCCCTCCTGAGTCCCCGACTTCCCCACCCCCCTGAATCGCATCGCGAAGCTGACTCGTGCTAAATCAACCGATCGCCAGCTGGCTGGACCCCGCCCCGTCCGTCTATCTGGCCCCCGCCCCGTCCGTTCTCCGTCGACCGTTCCCCATTGAAATCCGCGGGGCCTGCGTGCGCCCGCACGCAGTAAAAGCAGAACCCGCCGCGGTTATTGTGCCCCTTCGGCTTGTGGCCCCAGCGCAGGCACTCGAGCGGGAAGACATGGTCAAACTCGGTGCCCCTCCGGCCGCAAAGCCCGCGCTCGCGGCCGCCCGGCATCACCTGGGAGGCGCGCAACACCAGTGAGGGAGGGCGACGGTGGAACAAGTAGAAGGAGGATCACAAGGAGAAGGCGCACAAGGAGCACAAGGACAGGCGCCGGCGCACAAGGACCACAAGGACAGGAGCAGGAGCACCAGGAGCACAAGGACAAGAGCACAAGGATAACTGGATCACAATGGGAAGGACAGGACGACGTTCGACGAAGGAGAAATAGGGCGGGATACGACGGTGAATGGGGCAGCAGACGCGGAGAGAAAGCGCGCGGGGAGGGGGGGGGGGCAGGAGCAGAGAGGAAAAGAAAATTGACGAGGAGAAGGACGCAATAGCAGGCGGAGATAACGCGGGAGGACAGGCGGGAGGAAAGGGCGGTGGACGGAGGAGGAAGACGATTGCGGGTAGAAGGAAGCATGACCTCAACGGAGACGCCGCTCTCGGCCGTCTGCTGCACGACGACCTTCTCGACGTTGTCGGCCCCCCATGAGCCGTAAGTCGCCGCAGAGAGTTCACCGCGGCCGTAGGTGAGGTCAGGCATCTCTGCTTCCAGGTCGCTCATGGCGGCGAGCTCTCGGGAGATCGGAAGAGGGGTCAGGGGGCGGTTCCCTGACGAAGAGCGCGCTCGAGCAATCGAGCTGGGGGGCAGAAACAGAGGGGCCGACTTACAGCGCGTGCAAAACCTGCGACCCCGCTGACCCTGGACCATGGACCGAACGGCGCGTATTAACCATGGACCCCGCGGACATGACAGGATGCCTGGAACGCGGAAATGCCAAGATGCCTGGATTCCCTAGGACCGCCAGCTGAGACCCAGGCGGAACCGCCACGCGTTTCGAACGCCGCATATATCGTCTACCATCCGGCAGGCGAGAGCAAGCATCACGGGAAGGACAGGACACCGCGGAGGAGGAGGAGGGCGCACGCGGAGGAGGGCGAGCAGGAGGAGAGGGAGGACAATGACACGCAGGATGACGGGGAGGAGGATGACGAAGCAGGAAGTGGACGAGGAGGAGGAGAAGGAGTGGCGATGTCAAAGTCGTTCACCAACGCTGAACGGCCCAAGACACCAGCAATGGCATCAGGTCCCAGGAGGTGGAGACGGGGCGAGGAAATTAAGGGCGTCGGAGTAGGAGACACCGTCTTGTGCACAACTCCTCTCGGATGCCACTGGAAGTCGCGAACCCCCGGGCCGTGGCAAACCCGATGCTCGAAAACCAGACTCCCGCGAGTCCCGGCGAACGGCGGGGGGGGTTCATCTAGGCGACGATCGGCGCGCGGCATCTTGTGCTGCGCTAAGAAAAAAACAAGAGAATGCAGTCCAGCGGAGTTCCTCCTACTGTCCACCTCCACCTCTCACGACCCGCCCTCCTCCCCCTCATCGTGCTCACCCTCCTCCTGCAGCCGCCGTCGAATCCGATTAGAGGCGACGCCACTTAGCGACGTCGACCCAATCCCACGAAGGCGGCGAGAGTTACAGCCGCGAAGGGGAACGCGCTGTACGCGTTCCCCACCAAGAGCCTAGCGGTCGTCTCATCCAGGTCAGCTGCGGCGCCGAAGAAGCCGATCAAGCGCAGGAGCAGCTCGCCAGCGATGAGCCTCGTCGGCGGCAGATGAAAGCAGCTGGGGGAGGAGAGATTGGAGACCATCACGACGTTGCGAAATGGAAGGGCGCTACTGGGG